AGGTCATGATTTTAAGTGAGCTCTGACGGGAACAGCTCAGTTCAATTCAGCAAGCATTTACCGAGTGTCCCAGGTGTGAAGGCGCCACCATCATCTCGCCTGGGTGACCAGTCTCCCAGCTGTCACCTTGCCCCTACAGACTATTCTCAACTCAGCAACTCACTCCAAGCAAAAGGCAAAATCTACAAGTCCACAGGATCTGTGGCATCTTGCACCCCTACGGGACCCACCCCCTCACACACACACACATATTCCCATGTGAGCACACTCCTGCCTCAGGGCGTTTGCAAATCCTGTCCCCTTTGCCTTCTCCCAGATGGCCACTAGTCCTGCTTCCTCACTTTATTAAGGTCTCCACTCAAAATTAACCTCATCTGAGAAGACTTCCCTGACCTCTTTACACAAAACAGGACCCAGCCCATCACTCTCAATCCCCTTATCCTGCTGGTTTTCCTTCATAGCCCCTGTGGCCACCTTCACCTCCTGTACTAATTTATTTGTTCCCCCATTGCCACAAAACTGTGAGCTTCATGGAGCAGGGTCTGCTGCCTCTCCAGCGCCTGGAGCAGGGCCTGTGCAGAAGAGGTCCTCGGTGCAGATTTGGGGGGAGTGAACGAACCCTCCCACAAGCCCCAGCCACGCGAGTCAGTACCACATGCCTTTTGAATGGACACACAAATAAAGAAGATAGGTTCCGAAATTAAGCTCGTGACTATTTTGCAAGGCTTGGTATCTCTGCAGGCCTGAGTTTTCCTGTGTGAATCTGAAGCTTAGCAAGCCCGGGACGAGCTCTGTGAGGGCAGGAACCGAGTCCTGTCCACTGCTGGTCCCAGTTCACTGCTCAGCACCCAACAGATGGTTGGTTCAGAGTAGGTGCCGGCCCGATGGGACAGCTTGTGTTCCTCACACAAGAGCAAACCAGAGATGCTTTGCCCCTGTCTGGGCTGCTGAGATCTAGGGGAGGAGGAAACGGGCTTGAATCCTGTCACCAGGAAGGTCCCAGGCATGTTAACTAGCCCTCCACGTTGCTTAAAGGCTTTAGAAGAAACTTGCTCTGGTAGTTCCAATCCCCGACCGCAGAGCAGCCCTGCCCTCTGGTGGCCAACTGGTGCAGTGCCATCGCGGAAAAGCTTTGACAACAATTTAGGAAAAAATTTTGCTTTATACAAGTTGTCTGACTCCAACGTAGACAACTGGGAAGACAAAAAATAAGGAAATAAAATGTAATAACGTGACCTTAATACCCTTGATGCTACTGGAGCTCCCAATCTTATGCCTGTTTTATACTAGCTCATTCATTCAATCAACTATTTGCAGAGCCCCTCCCATGCCCCAGGCACCGTTCCAGGCACTGGCCGTGAACAAGTGAAAGTCACTGTATTTGTGCTGCTTGCTTTCCAGCTGTAGGCACTCTTTGTTTTTATCCTGATATCTTCACTTCCTTCATAACCTATGTTGCCACATACTCTTCATAAAAATCACTGCTGATGGCTAGATGGCAGTCCAGTGAGAGAATGTCTGCAGCCTATTGTCTAGTGTACCAGGGACATCTTCAAAGCAAAAGGAGGCAGATAAGAAGGTTTTGATCACTTTCTTTACAAGAGTGAGGTGCAGCTGGCTGAGTGGACCCCACAAGCCGCCCACATGGATTTTTCCTGTCTCCCTGTCCTCGGTCCTGGACGCCGGGATGCTCCAGACCTGAAGTCAGGGCACACACCTTCTATCGAAATACCGTGCCTTCACTCAACAATTACTACCTGCTGGCATTATTCCAGGGACTGAGGCTACAGCAGCGAACAAGGCAGGCAGGGCCCTGCGTCTCCTGGAGAACAGCCTTGTGGGAAGGCAGCGTGAAACACTTCATCACAAAATCAATTGTAATTCCAATGTCATGTGTGAAAGTACTAAAGAGGCACCCCAACTTAATCTGAGGGGTCCACGCCCCTGAGGAGGTCTCCTTCAAACTCCGAACTCAAGGACACAGGAGTAAGGTTGGGGCCAGGCAGAGGGAGGGCAGGTGCGACACCTGCAGCCCAGACAGCAAGAGGGCGAAGGAGGGAAGCGGGTGGCGGCCAGATCTCACAGGACCTCGGAGGCCACTCAGGAAGTGTGGGCTTTCTCCTCAGGGCAACAGGAAGCCACTGCAGGGTTTTGAGTGCTTTGAGCAAGTCTGGCCCTTTGGAAAGATCCCCTGTAACAAACAAAACCAGCTAGAAAATACACTGGAAGAAAAGAGGCATTCATAAGAGTGATACAAAGAACAAACTATTCAGAAAGTCACTTATCAAGAAATATGTAATACGTTTCTAAAGAAAAGCTGTAAACTTTACTGAGGGGGAGAAAAGAAGACTCAAATAAATGGAAAGACACGTTTTGTCTTAACAAAAGATAGTATTGTGAAAATGTGAAGTTTCCTCATATTTACCTATATGTTTGCCACCTGCATAGACTATTACCTTCTGAATTGTAGGGCCCCTGTTTTATACTTTCTCAACTCCCGGTACTTTCCCTCCTTAACACATGTGACAGTGTGATTACATTATTTTTGTAATTACGTGTTTCAGGCTGCCTACCCACTCCACTGATAAAAAGAACACTAAAATTCATCTGAAAATATATGAGTGAAAATAGCCAGTAAATTTCTTAAAAAAATCTTACCAGGTAATAAAAATATGTTATAAAGCTGGAGTAAATACAGCCATTTGGCACACATACAAGAAGAGGCAAAAAGATCAAGAGAACACAATAGAGAAACCAGAAATAGACCCAACTGTAGGGGGAAATTTAGAATATCATAAGGTGCCACTCCATCAGTAGAAGAAATGGATTATTCAGTAAACAGCATGGGGAAAACAGCTGGCCATTTGGAAAACAATTAAATGTGCGTCTGTACCTTTCTCCTTCACACCCAAATAACTGCAGGTGGATCAAAGGTTTAAAAGTAAAAATTGAACCATGAAAGCATGAGAAGAAAGCATGAATATAATTCTTTTGCAATTGTGGCTAGAAAAGCATGATATTAATTCCATAAACCGTGAAGGAAGAGACTAATTAATTTGATTCTAAAAAGTGTAAAACTCCTTTGAGGCAAAAATACAGAAAGTCAAAAGACAAACGGAAAATTAGGAGAAATATTTGCAGGAATATGAGAGACAATGTGACAATTTCCTTAACTACAAAGAATGCTTAGAACTCAAAAAGCCAAAGATAAAGAACTCAGTAGAAAGAGCAGGCAAGACAACACAGAGCAGAAAAAGAGATTCGCGTGGATGACAGATATATTAAAAACAGCCTGGGCGCCAGCCCATGGCCGAGTGGTTAAGTTCACGCACTCTGCTCTGGCGGCTCAAGGTTTCACTGGTTCAGATCCTGGGTGCGGACATGGCACCGCTCATCAAGCCATGCTGAGGCAGCATCCCATGTGCCACAACTAGAAGGACCCACAACTAAAAATATACAACTATGTACCGGGGGGCTTTGGGGAGAAAAAGGAAAAATAAAAATCTTAAAAAAAAAAAACTCAGCTTGATTCATAATTTTTAAAATAAGTTACCATTTTTTACGTATCAGAGTGACAAAGCTATGGGCAGGTGTTGGTAAAGGTGAGGAGAAACAGCAGACTGTGGACATGGAAATTGGTAGGGCCAGGAGGAGAGGCAAAGAGGCAACAGCCATCGACCTTCTAATTGCCCGACCCCGTGAAGCCAGCAATTCCACTGCTAGCAATTGATTTCACTGCAGCCGTATTTCTAAGAGCAAATCACTGGGAACAACAGGGGGCAGTCCTCGGATATGGGGACAGGCAAAGAGCTCCAGCATGCACTTTCAAGTGAAAAATGCAAGGTGCAGACGTCTGGGTGGTGGTGGTTGTTGTTTTTTCTTCTTCTTCTCCCCAAAGCCCCCCACTACATAGTTGTATGTTCTAGTTGCAGGTCCCTCCAGTTCTGCTATGTGGGACGCCGCCTCAGCATGGCTTGATGAGCAGTGCTAGGTCCGTGCCCAGGATCTGAACCCATGAAACCCTGGGCTGCTGAAGGTGAGCGTGGGAATTTGACCACTTGGCCACGAGGTGGGCCCCTGGCTTATTGTTTTTTAATGTCACATGCACATATGTATAATTATGCATGAACATGCAATTATGTATACACACATAGATAAAAGCATTTATAAGCCTTGAACAAATTTGGAAGGATACAGGAGAAACTGCTTGCCGCTGGGAAGTAGACCTGGAGGTTGGGGGTGGGGGAGGCGGGGAATCTATCTTTGACTTTTCACCTTATTTTCTTCTTTGTCCTTTGAATTTTTCCCGTGAGCATGTATTGCTTTTGTAATAGTACCAAAATTGTCACTGCTGTTGTCGTTGTTGTTTTAAGATCATTCAGGTTTCCGTGTAATGAACTGACCACAGAGGCCAAAGTGGCTTGTGGAGACTTTGGCAGTCCAGATGTGACATGGCAGTGGCTGGGAAGGCAGCCGTGCAGCCAAAAAGAAACAACTGGATTCCAGATTTACTCAAAAGGCAATGCTGACAGGAAGGAAGGCAAGAATAGCATGCTCTGTGCCCCCACAGCCACTCTGCCACCCCATCCTTCAGCCCTACACCAAACGTCATCCCACACGCCACTAGACTGCAGGCTCCGTGAGGACAGAGCCACATCTGTTCTGTTCTCCACTGCTTGGAACAGGGCCTAGAGGATGCCAGGAGACCAGTGGGCACCAGCACTGGCTCTGAGAGCTCTGAGCCTCAGAGTGGGAGGCTCCCCATGGGACTAATGCAGGGAAAGGCAGAGAGCAGGGGAGATTCAGGGATGACAGCAGGGTTTGAGCTGGCTCTGCCCACTGACCCCATCAACACCCCCTAGACACCCTCACAGGTATGGGCCTCAGCACCAGGTAGGAGCCTGCTCAGCACCTGCTGAACAAGTATTTGAATGGGTACCACCCACCCAGATCCAGAAGGGTGTGCAGGTGGGGCCCCTTCCAGAAAGGTGTACCTCCTCCACCATTCACAACCGCCTGCTCGAATCCCAGTTCCTGCCCAGGAGGAAGCATGACAGACTCTTCCAGGTGGACGGAGTGGATCCAGGAGGAAGGCAGCTCAGCCTTGGCGCCCACACTCCTTGCCCTGCCCTTTGCACCTGTTGCGTACAGGAAGAGATCCTCCGCTGACCTACCCTGCTGCCCTTCCCGCTGGGCCTCCCTCCTACCCTCAGCACCTGCAGACCCCAAACCCACTGAGTAGGGAGCCGTAGATTTGTCCTAGAACTACCAAGAAACTCGGGATGGCTTCTCAGAGGAGGCAACATCTGAGCCGGGCCTTGAAGCATGAAGAGGAACGAACGTCTGCCAGATAAAAAAGGAGAAAAAAGGCTGTAGGTGTGCACCAGGGAATGATGGACCCGGCAAGCTTCTTGCAGGATGGGAATGAGGGCCTGACGGGGCTGGGTTAGAGGCAGCCAGATTGTGAAACGCTCTAGGAAATTACAGTCATAATAGTAACCTCATACCTCGCTGGACCCCCAGGCCCGGGCACGCTCCCTCCACGTGCTGCTTCTCACAGAGGTATGTGGCTGGTCCATCTTCTCCACCAGACTCCAAGTTCCTCGAGAGCTGTGGCTTTCTTCTCTGTGTCCGGAGTGCCTGGCATGCCCTAGGGCATAGGTGCTCAACAAATGTTTGTTGACCTAAAAAAAGGGGATATTTGTAACTGTGGTGACGACACAACTGTAAACATAGGTCAAAAGTCAGCGAACTGGACACTTGAACTGGGTGAATGTTACCGTGAATTACACCGCAGTAAAGCCGAGGAGAGAAGGCACATGCATATCATAGAGTGCTTTGTCGTCCACCACTTTCCCATCACTCAGCTTGTGTATCCCCCCAACAGCCCCATTGCACCGATGGAGAAACCAAGGTGACCGTGGCCAACCTGGGCCCCACCCTTAGAGCTTGTGGATCGCCGGATATGAGCCTGAGGGACACTTTCAGAGGATGTGGGCCAGTCGTGGGTGGGAAAATCTAATTTGCAGAGGTCACGCCTCCCTCTGCCGAGACCAGTTGGTCCCCTTCTAAAATCCGGGGGACAGGAACAGTGACACAGGCTGGTAGTGGGTTACTGCTGTCTTGCCCTGGGGACACTTGGCCCCCCTAGGGCAGTTTGGGCACATCGTCGGTCCTGTTCAGCGGGGTCCTCAGGCCGGCCTGGGAGACGCTGGGTGTCACACTCCTGCTCCACCCCCAGCTCACACGAACAGCCTCACTTTCGCTGTATAGGATAAGAGTGCTCACTCAGATATCCTACCACAAGTGGGATTGCCAGATTTAGATAGAAATACAGGACAGAATATTTGGGACACACTTATACCAAATAGGACACACTAAACAGGATATACTTGTGCTAAAAAATTATTTGTTGCTTATCTGAAATCCAAATTTAACTGGGCATCTTGTATTTTGTCTGGCAATCATAAATGCAAAAAAAATTAAATTAAATTAATAAATTTTAAAGATTAATTAAATTAATCGAATAAAAAAATCATAAAAAAAACCAAAATGATAAAATATAAAATAAAATAAGATAAAATTTTTAAATAATATAAAAATATAAAATTTTAAAAAATAAAATAGCAAACAAAAATTAAAAATTTAAATAATAAAATATTAAAAAGTAAAATAAAACATAGACTAATACACCACCAGCGGGCGGAGGCCTGCGCTGGCCCCAGTGCCTTGGCGGTCCAGCAGGATAGCGGGCATCCCCGAGGGCACCCCAGCCCAGCGTCCCAAGCGCTTGGCTGCAGCCTCCACGCGGCGGGGCGCACCCCGGGAGAGTGATGCAGAGGCCCGTAGAAAGCTCTAGAACAGCAGCAGCCCACAGCACCCCTGGCTGTGCCTCCCGGGTGGCAATCGCCCCCTAGCAATGGGGGCCTGTCACCCAAGGCCGCCCCCCACCGGGAGCGCGAAGGGCGCAGCGGTTTCTCAACTGCTTTTTAACGGAAGCCAGTGTGTTCTAGAAATGGCTTTCTGCCGCTCTGAAAGGAGCACCCGAGAAGTGAGCAAACGCTGCTCTGTGTTCAGGAAAGGCACGCTCCCCTCCTGGCCTCTGCTGCTTTGTCTCGCTGGGGAGAAGGTCGTGAGCGCCACCTGTGTGCGTGAGGTCCCAGGACGCCCACCAAGGCCCTGTAGGAGGGTGGGGTGGTTGACAGCTCCTCTAGCTGAACTTTGCTGCCCCTGCCTTCTGCCACTCAAATCCAGGGTGACATTGTGTAGGCAGAAACAGGTGTGGGGGGGGGGTTCCCTATTTTTTTCCTACAAATCTGAGTGCTGAAAGGCACAGCAGAGAGTTTTTGCTCGCTTGGGAAAACGCCAACCTATACGTTAGAAAAGGCAATAATAAAGGTATCATAATATTAAATTAATAACACTAATACAGCCATAAAGCTCTAAAACTTCATGCCCAGTAACCCTACTCCCTGGGAATTTATCCTAAGGAAATAGTTCAAAAGAATAAAAGTGCTATATGCCTAATAATGTTCACAATGGCGTTACTGACAGTGGCTGGAAACTGAAAACAACCTAAAGCCCAGTAAAGGAGAAGGTTAAGTAACGATTTTACACCCACAGGATGGAGTGCTGTGCAGCCATTCAGTGACTATGGCCAGGGCCATAGAAACATGGGGAAATGTTTATAATATAATCTTAATGAAAAGCCGTTTAATATAAAACGGTACATACTTATAGATCATAGCCCCCTCAGAATTGCCTTTTTTAATTGAAGTTTTATTTAGATAATTGTAGATTCACATGCAGTCATAAGAAATAATACAGAGATTTCATTTTTACACAGGTTCCCCCAGTGGTAACATCTAGCAAAATCAGGATATAGACAGTGATATAATCCACCACCCTCGGTCAGATTTCTCCAGTTTTACTTATACTCACGCGTGTGACTGTGTGTGTGTGGTTCTATACAATTTTTTCACATTGGAATGGCTTTCTTTTTGTTTTTTGAGGAAGATCAGCCCTGAGCTGACATCTGCCGCCAATCTTCCTCTTTTTGCTGAGGAAGACTGGCCCTGAGCTAACATCCATGCCCATCTTCCTCTACTTTATATGTGGGACGCCTACCATAGCATGGCTTGCCAAGCGGTGCCCCGTGCGCACCCAGGATCCGAATGAACCAGCGAACCCTGGGCCGCTGAAGTGGAACCTGTGCACTTAACTGCTGGCCCGCACTGGGCCAGGAATGGTTTTTAAAGTACACGTGAATATGTAGAAGTGTGTGGGGAGGCCTGGGCCAGCGGGGCAGAAAGCTGAGGGGCCCGCCCAGCCAGGCCGGCCTAGCTGTGGGATCTTGGGCAAATGGAGGAACCTCCCTCGAGGTGCGGTTTTCAGCAGTCACGTGGGGACCAGTCTCCTGCCCCGTCTTTAACAAGGCTGCTGTTGAGGTCATATTTGCCGAACGCAGGCACCATCATCCAGGCCCTGAGCACAGGCAGTTCACCAAGCAGCCAGAAGACAAGCCCGGGCAGAAGTGGTGGTGGGGGGGGGGGGGGAGGGGCGGGCTGGGTGTGTCCCTCGGCCCTCCCACCACTCACAGCTGGGCTACTACCAAAATGGGAGGTCACTCCACCCTCCCTCTCTCCACCAGGCAGGAGATGGGACAAGGGGCTTCCCAAACATTTCCAGCTGCAAGAGGCCTGGTCTTGAGAATTGGACCATCCAGCTCAAAAATGACTCCCGTTGGGCAGCCGGAGGAAAATGGGATCTGATAGGGAAGGAGCAGAGAAAACAGTGCCCGCTGGCCTCCTTCTGCTGCTCCCCAGAAAGTTGCCTGACTGTGGCTTCCTCTCCAGTGGGATCGGCAGAGGTCGGGGAGCAGAGGCTCCTCTCCAGGCATCTCCTTCCAGACACGCCCTGTGCTGCTGGTGCAAAAGGCTGTCAGTTCCCACCCTGTCCTCTCCACCAGGAAGAAAAAACGGAGGCGTGTTTCAACTGCGTGTTTTAACTCGAGCCCGTGAAGGGCCTTCTTTGTGGGAGCTCCAGGATCACAGCTCCCCAGGAGCACCCCCAGCTTAACCTTCACAACAACCCCAAGAAGGAGGTCATTCGTTATCCCCATTTTACAGGTGAGGAAACTGTCTTTGAGGAGGTTGAGCTGATGATCATACAACTAGTAAAGAGTAGGTTTCGAACTCGGGCCTGTCTGCTTTTCCTGCTTTGCCGCACTGCATTCTTAATTAAGAATTAATTCCGTTTTTCTAGATTTGATCCCAAGCTGCTGTGGCCCTGGAAATGTGAGTCAATTGGCTGTATAATAGGGGTGTCAGTGTTTGTAGTCTAAATTTTCCAAGAGCTAAGCAGTCTCACAGTGGTCTGAGTATAGCCAGCCACTAGTATTTTCCGATGACCTTTGTTGTGTTTCTGTCTCCCTGAATAGACTATGCGCTCTTTGCTGGAGGCCTCTCTGCCCTCTTCATTTTTCACTTTATCCTGAAAACCACGTGTGACAGCATCTGGTTGTTATTGGTTTTGGTTGACCAGCCCCTTTAAATACAATTCCTTCTAGAAGCAGAGGCCACGCCCCACGCTCTTTGGCCATATCACTCTGGCCTGATGATCAGAGTACCCAGCTTCCTTGGGCACAGTGATCGTATCCAGAAATGAGATGGTACAGGATTAACCAGGACCAATCAGAATTCTTCCCTGAGCTAGATATAAGGCTGTGGGGAGAATTCCACCAAGGCTGTGAGCTAAGAGTATGTAAATTCAGGGCTGCCAGCGGCCGGCCCGGGGCCCGTCAGCCTGTTTACAGAAGGGAAGCCAGGCAGAGCCAAACAAAAACAAAAGCTGGAAGTGGAGAGAGCACGGGAGACCTAGAGCGAGCACGAGAGAGAAAGCAAAGAGAGAGACAGAGAGAGACCAGAGGCATCAAGCCTTGGTGTCAGGTCCTGTGGTCTGTTCAATTCTGTGAACAATTCCGCATCCTCCCTAACTCTGAGCGGCACTGTTTCCTATTTGTCAAGCACATGGTTCTGCAATATGTCACCTTGATGGTGCACCTCCTGGGGCTCAAGGGCTGGAGGATGAGCTGACCAGAAAGTTTCTCTCGTG